TGCGTGAAAGCATTCAGTGCCAGACTGAACAAACAATTTACTAATTTTAACACCGACATTTACCAAGCTGGCAAAAATTGGAATTTTCTGCGATTGTCAGTAAACTTTCAGCATCGTTAGGGCCAAGTGTTCTCTAAAGGTGGTAAAAGTTTCAAATTGCTACTTGCATCAATTTGGAAGACTTAAACGTTTAAAAGGAAGAGCCCAGTTGCTCAAAACGTCCATTTCAAGACTTATGTCCACAAAGCTGAGAAAAGTTAGGATTTCGGACTATTGTTATGAAACTTTCAGCATATTCAGAGCTAACTATCTGGTAGAGATGACGAAAATTTCCGATTTTGAACATGCAGTAGTTTGGAAGATGTGATTTTTTTAAAGACAGTGCGCATATTAACATTCATTGGAAAAGCGATGTTTACTAATTTTGTTTCCGACATTTACCAAGCTGGCAAAAAGTAAACCTCTTCGCTATATTCGTGAAACTTTCAGCATCCTTAGAGCCAACTTTCGCCTAAAGATGTTAAAAGTTTCAAATTGCTACTTGCATTAATTTGGAAGACGCCAATGTTTAAAGGAAGGAACTTGGTTGGTCAAAACGTCCATTTTGAGACTTAGATTCTCTAAGCTGGTGAAACCCAAGATTCCGGTATAGTGTTACAAAACTTTCCGCATATTCGTCATCATGTGTGTTCTAAAAATGGTGAAAATTTTGAACTTCTTCTTGGTACAGTTTGGTCGCGGACAATTTTTAAATGAGACAGCGCAATCGACAGAAAACTCCATTTTGAGACTAACATTTACTAAGCTGGCAAAACTCAAGATTTAAGGCGATTTTTACAAGACTTCCAGCAACTTCATCATCAAATATCTTTTAAAGATGCTAAGAATTTCAGATTGCTACTGGCCCTAAACTAAAAGATGCGGATTTTTTGCAAAAAGAGCGCATAAGAGTGAAATCATCCGTTTTGAGACTATTCACTAAGCTGTCAAAACTCAGAGTTCAGAAGGATTGGTATGAGAGTTTTAACATCTTTAGA